TTGTGAAAACCACTTCACACAAACTTTTATAAAACACACTTAAAACAAACTTAAACACCCTTAAACTTTGTTTTAAAACTTTCTTAAGTAGTTCAAAAGTTTAAGGGTAAGGGGTATATATTGGTTCACAAAACAAACCCCAAAAACCAACAAAAACATCAAAAATAACAAAATCTAGAAAATAGTCGTTACTGAGCAACGGTCATATTATAAGTCGACTTATGACAGGTATAAGTCATCTTATGTCTTCATGAGTTGACTTGTATGAGTTATATGTCAACTCAGCAGACGAAAATATCTAACTACATAACATATCATAAGTCGACTTATAAGTCGACTTAAACGTGCACAGGACCTGAAATGCATAGTAAATTTTAACTTTAAACCTTATTTAAAAATATCAAACAAATTCTAAAAAATATAAAACTTGGAGAAATTATGTACTCCTTGAACTATGCATGAATATTAGCTCATGTCTTGTACAAAAATACTCACCAAACAAACACACAAGTAAAAGGTTCAATCTCACAAAAACCGACCTGATCAGTCGACCGACAACCTCATCGGTCGACTGATAGGGTCATTTACAAAACAACAGGACAAACACGATCCTGTTAGTCGACTGATGCTTGCCATCAGTCGACTGATGACCTCCCGTCAGTCGACTGGTGACCTCCCGTCAATCTACTGATGGCAACTTCAGTCGACTGAACAGGCCGAAATGCACGGTTTGTTCTTCTCTCGTGTTTTTTTCAAAAACTCGGGTTTTTATCAGATTATATGAATAAACTTGATTCCATTGTCATGTATACTTAACCAGGATTTTTTTTAAATAAGATGAATCACATGAACACATAGATCTAGGGTTTAACATGCAAATCAACCTAATTTTTGTTTATTTCGACAATCTAAAGCATATAAATCATATTAAACTGTAATTAACTCATTAAATTAAATCCTAATGATCATGATCATGTTAATATACTAGTTTTAGAATTGTTCTACTATTCTTGACATGAGTTTAGGGCATGAACATCATAAATTAAGTTCTAACACGTTAGATCTTACACTAAACATGAAATTAGACACATATATTACATAAAAACATGATTTTTGATCTAGGGATAGGTTTGGACAGAGGTAATCTTGCCTTAATCTTATGTGCAAGACTCTAAAGTGAATAGCAAGCAATCCACAAGTGCAAACAACCCGTTCTCCCTTACCACACATCGATGATCTCGCCTCGTATCGGTATTGTGCTTCACAAAGCTCTCAAAATTTATAAGAAAAAGATCTATGGTTTTTGAGGGGAGAGGGTGACTGTTGGGATTTAGATATATGATAAAAGAGAGGATTTTTTTATGAAAAACATAGGGGTGTGTGTGTGTGTGTGTGTGTGTGTGTGTATGTGTGTGTGTGTGTGTATCTATATATATATATATATATATATATATATATATATATATATATATATAATCGCCCCCCACGATTCCTCTCTCGCCTGAATCATCACCGCCTTCTTTCAATCGCCCCCAACGATCACTCTCGCACCGTCTTCCGCTCGCTTGAGGTCGCCTCCCGCTAGCCAAAGATCCACCGTCCGTCCACTCGCTTGAGATCCGCCGTCCTCCGCCTCCTATCCTTGCCACCAGATTCCGATTCGGAACCAAATCAGAGGACGAACCCAATCAGAAGTCGGCATCAGCAAAAGTTGAGTGATCAACCATCTAACTATGCTTTGATTAATAATTCTTGAAACTAAACTAAAGTCCTTGATATAATCATAAAGCTTAGAACATTTTGAAAGCATAGTTGATGCTCAGTGAGCATGCGTTATGATATCATTAAGCATTATTATTTTTTAGATGCATGACTATTTCATTGGTAAGAAGCTTGGAAGGCTAAATGAACGAAAAACTATTTTGAAGGGAAAATTGGTAGTTTTAGGTGATAGCACTGCATATCTACCAGTGTGATTTGTTTCATAACTATGCAACAGCGTAATGATTTGCGCATGCTTTATTTTGACTAAGTCTTTAGAAGCTCTTGCTTTACTAATCAATGTCCTCACCTTCATTTTGACTGTTGAACGGGTATTCCTTCATTCATTAAGACTCTCAGAAAGCCTTTTTGAATACCATTGACTTCCATTTCTCATCATCATCAATGGTTGAGGTCAATTTCGCCAGGCTCTTGGATCTATTGATTTATTCACAAATATATTATTTCAAGAAATTTCCAGTTTATTTCTGCCATAATAAATGCTTAATTTGTTTGGTTTTATTTTATTTTTAGTAAACCAAGTCCTACAAAGCCATTATAAAAGAAAAGTACCATCTTTTCAGGGGTTAAAATTGCAATATAAGACAGCTAAGTATGCATCTCTAGTAAGTCGATAGCTGCTAGAGATAAAACTATAGTAGAGGGAATCAAGGAGGGGATTTGCATCTGTATTAGCTAGCCAGTGCATTAAAGAAAAATGTACACGAGGCTGCTATTGTTATATACATGTTGAATCCATCACCTTCTGAGATAAAAAGTTTGGAACTTTTACCAGCTCTGGTGGAGGTTGCTTGCAACTCAAATGGTCAAAAAAAGGAATCAATCTCACTTCCTTTGACACCTACTACAGCATCAATAGCTATGATTGAAATTCTAGTAACTTCATTTGATTATGTCACGAATAACATGCACTTGGCAGCTATTAGTTCTCCTAAGATCCTCTCCAAATTTGTAAATGTTGCAATGAACAAAAACTTGGAAGAAGGGACAACCTTGACAGCTATTTTTGTGAGGTGTATGCGTCTCAATGGGAACTGCAAGAAGTTTTTATCGACTTACTAGAGATGCATACTTAGCTATTTTAGTAAACCATATTTTTCGTTATCGATGAAGATAGTCGATAGTTGCTTCGGGGTTGGAAGGGGAGGATAATCTATGCATTATCAGCATGGAAGCCTGATAGAGTTTGACGGAATGAAATTCCACCTGAAATACATTCTAGTATATGGTTTATTAAGAATTTGAGGCTTGCTTCGGTTTCTTGGGAGTAGTTCATTAACTGATAACAATGTATTACTCAATTTTGTTGATAGTTTCTTTCGTGCTGATCCTGTTGAAATGATTGAACTTTTTGATCTGAATGCAGGTGAGTTGGCCTCATTTCAAGGGGGAAGATAGACTATGACTTTATTTGGCTGCTGATTTGTATGACTGCTGACGTTCTTGGGTACCTGAAGATGATATGTGGACTGTGGATGATGACTGAAGAATTATAAAAGACTTTTAATGTTTGTCATTTATAAGTCATGTAATGTTTGTCATTTATAAGTCATCATCCTATGTGGGTTGTGACTAAGAATTGTAGTATGGCGTAATTAGCACTTTGTATGAAACTTTGTATTTAAATGTCACCTTAGCTTTTGTTTAAGTGTATATGATCTGCTTGTGAAAATGTGTGTGGGGACTGCTCATTGTCAACATACAAGCACATGAAATTGCAAGAGCACATGTCATATAAATATCTATTTCCTATAAGATTATTATTTCCTGCAGCAGAAGGCGCTCTATAGTAACAACATTCCTGTTGTGGATGGAGAAGGTCATTGTCATACCAAAATATATTTCAACTTGGAATCAAAAGACTAATTTTGGTACAGCGAATGGGCAATCAATATATGGAGATAAATGAAGGTCTTCCACAACAAAATGCTAGAAAATAAAATGACAAACATAAAAATCTTTTAAGTCCATAAAGTAACTTCACATATCCAAAGAGCTTCGAAAGAACATTGACAAACAAAAGAAAGATTAGAATGGGTTATTAGTAGTCATATTCTTTAACATCTTCATCATCTTCTTCTTGGTCTTCCAGATCTTCCTCTTCTTCCTCATTGATGCTTCCTACTTGACTTGTTGCTTGGGCCTGCATAAATCCTTAATTTTCATCAAAAAATTACAAATATCATACTTTGCATAGGAACATTGTCCCACATTTGAGAATAAAAAGTAATTTTACCTTGCAAGTTCGACTATTGTGACCTTTCCCATGGCATTTCCCACAAGTTCTTTGCTTCTTAGTTTTCAACTCTGAAGGAGGCTTGAAACGTTGCATCTTTCTTTTTCCTTTGCAATTTGAAATAGGAGGAGCTCTCACCATACAATTATTATCAATAATACTTTCTTGTGCTTGAGAACGTGCAGAACCTTGGATTTGCGTCATGTCGTCATGCCCTGATTTATTCTCTTGTAAGTGCATTTTTGCCGCTACTAATTCTCCCACAACTTGATCTATTTTTTTTATTTGCCAAATTATACAACTCAATACATGTGGAACCTTCTGCAACCAATTTCATTATTTTTCGAGACAAACTATTAAACATTAGAGTCTTTGTGGAGGAATTTGACGATTCAATGCTAAGACATTGGTGCATATCAAAACTTTCTTCCTTAGCTGACTTTGTCCATCTCTTTAAAATATATTCAGAGGGTATTTCCAAGATATCAAGATGCAAAAGCACCTTAAGCACATGCGAGCACACCATTCCACTAAATTCAAACATTTTACAATTGCAAGATACTGTCGTAGGGGCTTGGAAAGTAACCATATAAGTTCTTCTAGCACTTGGTTTTTCTGAGTTTGGGACTTGCACTAGTTTGTACAATGCTTTAGGCGCCATTTCATTTAGAGAAAATAAAAGTATCTCTTTTAGTTGATCCTTAAAGACCCTAAACATTGCTCTAGTATAAATCTTTTGTGCATGCCTCTCTATTGGGCTTGGAGACCACGAACTTGGCTTGTATTGTAGAGAGCGAAAATCCTCTTCCTCTTCTATGTCATATCGATCTTCTAAAGCCTTTTCATATTGCATGACAAACTCATAAATTGTTGTATGGTTATTGACTCTACCTTTGAGAAGTGCATTGAAACTTTCGCTTCTTTGCGTTGTAGACATGAAAGCACAAAATATATTTTTAAAGTATGATGGCACCCACTTATCTCAAATTTGATACAAATGTTTTAGATGTGTGTTATCTTCAACTCCATGCTTCTCTATCATAGAAGTCCAACTTGACTCAAAATCATCAACTGTTAAGCTAAAATTGATGCAACTAAGAAAGTCCTCTTGAAACTTCTCTTTTGTACCAAATAAAATGCCTAGATGTTCGCGTGCTTTCCGAAGAATGTGCCACTTACAAAACCGATGAGCCATATTAGGAAGGACTTCACTTATTGCTTTTCTCATTGAAGGATCTTGATCTGTCAGAATACAAGTAGGATGCTTACCAAACATTGCAGTAAGCCATGTTCGAAAGACCCACATGAAGGATTCCGCGGTCTCGTCTCTAATCAAAGAATAACCAAATAATATAGTTTGAGAATGGTGATTTACCCCCGATGAATGGTGCAAATGGCATACTGTACTTGTTTGTACAATATGTGGTATCAAAAGTGACTACATCTCCAAAATGCTGGTAGGCCATCCTTGATCTACCGTCAACCCAAAACATATTTTTTGCACAATTATTACTATCAATCTGGACTGCATAAAAGAACATAGGATTCTCAGCTTGTAGTTGTTGAAAGTGACTTAGAGTTGTTGAGATATCACTATCAAAAAGAGACATTCTTTGGCGCGTTGCAAAGTTGCTTAGGTCCCTCCTCGTGAATGATAAATTACGAACCCCTCCACGTTGAGATGCAATGAAGTCCCTAATATACTTTGTTGAAATATTTTGCTCACGCATGGTTTGTATAAGGTCGACTTCTTCATCTCCAATCTTTCGCCGACACCGATAGAAACGGGATTTTGAGGGGCTCGGTACTAATTCATGGTTGTGCTTCTTCTCACATGATGATATAATCCAATTTTCTCCATCATCTAATTTCACACGCATACTTGCTTTGCAACCAGTTCGAATGCTAGATATCTCCTTCAAAGGACTTTTTTCGAATGTGTTATCCCTAAGTAATGGCTCCTTCCTTTTGCTTTTAGAAAAACCCTCATGAGAGCAAGTAAATACTTGCATGGTGATGACATTCTTTCTCTTAGACAAATAATTAGATCCTTTTCTAATCCCAAACCCAATGAATTTTGCATAAGCACTATAATAATTCATTGCTTCCTCCAAACTTTTGAACATCATACCGATCTTCGGTTCATCAATACATGGCATGTGACTCAAGTTTTCTTCTAAATGTTCTTCTTCATGTGGCTGAATCTCTTGCATCGTCTTTTCTATTTCTTCATTTGCACGAAAAAGATCACTGTCTACATATTCCCCTAATCTTGCCATGAGACAACCTGTAACCATAATGAAAGATTATTAGATTACTTCATAGATGGAGAAAAATTTAATATAGGGTAAATTGAGCTCACAGTTGATAAAATAAAAATAACAAGTGGAAGGGGAAATCTATATTTAATAGTTACTAACAAACTAAGAACACTGGTTAATAAGATACATTGTCATGACTAGATGTAATATCTTGGTTCACAAGACTTTTGTATGTGTCATGACTTTTGTATGTATTAGATTGGAAACTTACTAGAGATGCATACTTAGCTGTCTTATATTGCAATTTTAACCACTGAAAAGATGGTACTTTTCTTTTATAATGGCTTTGTAGGACTTGGTTTACTAAAAATAAAATAAAACCAAACAAATTAAGCATGTATTGTGGCAGAAATAAGCTGGAAATTTCTTGAAATAATATATTTGTGAATAAATCAATAGATCCAAGAGCCTGGCGAAATTGACCTCAACCCTTGATGATGATGAGAAATGGAAGTCAATGGTATTAAAAAAAGGCTTTCTGAGAGTCTTAATGAATGAAGGAATACCCGTTCAACAGTCAAAATGAAGGTGAGAACATTGATTAGTAAAGCAAGAGATTCTAAAGACTTAGTCAAAATAAAGCATGCGCAAATCATCACGTTGTTGCATAGTTATGAAACAAATCACACTGGTAGATATGCAGTGCTATCACCTAAAACTACCAATTTTCCCTTCAAAATAGTTTTTCGTTCATTTAGCCTTCCAAGCTTCTTACCAATGAAACATTTATGCATCTAAAATAATAATAATGCTTAATGATATCATAACGCATGCTCACTGAGTATCAACTATGCTTCCAAAATGTTCTAAGCTTTATGATTATATCAAGGACTTTAGTTTAGTTTCAAGAATTATTAATCAAAGCATAGTTAGATGGCTGATCACTCAACTTTTGCTGATGCCGACTTCTGATTGGGTTCGTCCTCTGATTTGGTTCCGAATCGGAATCTGGTGGCAAGGATAGGAGGCGGAGGACGACGGATCTCAAGCGAGTGGACGGACGGTGGATCTTTGGCCAGCGGGAGGCGACATCAAGCGAGCGGACGATGGATGTAGATAGTCTTGCCTTATCATGTGTGCAAGCCTCTGAAACTGATGTGAAATAACTTCTCGTCGCCAAACGTCGTAGATCTCGCCTTTTCCTTGCGTCTCGCCTCACAAAATGCTCCCAAAATCTCACCTTTAGGGCTAGTGTTTAAGAGAGAGGAAGAGGAGATGCTAGGGTTTAAAACTCTGATGAAAAGATAATAATTTTTATGATAACACATGTATATATATATATATATATGCAAATCTGAAATAAACCCGTTTGACCCGAACCAGGAATCCTAGTCTGACTGAGAAATTAACCTTCAGTATTTTGACTGTAACTTTCTTATCCAACCTAGGAATGATGTGATATAAGATTTATTGGAAATATGTTAAAGAGACCTACAACTTTAATCTTTTGAGTGATTTTAGATTCAAACTACATCGATGTGTAAAATATATAAACTATTAACTGGTCATTTTTCCAGATTTCTCTTCGTGCATGTATTGTGCATTTGCACTCATATATTCACAAATATACATTGAATTGATCTCAAATCAATTCTTATCATACTCAAACATTAAAATATATAATTTTTCATCATATAACATATTTACTTTTTTATTATCATATTTTTAAATTCACGGGGTTAGTCAGGTCCCGCAATGAGACCACAGATGGACTATACTCTGAATGCTTTAGTTGGGTCCTGTAATAAGATCGCAGATGGACTAACTTCTTTATTGGTCCACATGGAGATGCGCAGAGGTTGATATACCTGTCTATTGGTCCGTATAGAGATGCGCAGAGGTTGATATACATATCTATCGGTCCACATGGAGATGCGTAGAGGTTGAAATACCTATCTATCAGTCCGCACGAAGATGCACAGAGGTTGATTTACCTAACTATCAATCTGCATGGTTATGCGATGAGTTATTATACTTAGCTACCAGTCCGTATGAGAGTATGATGAATTGACATACCTAGTTATTGGTCCGCACAGGAGGGCAATGAACTGACATATCTATTTACCAGTTTGCACGAGGGTGCGATGAGTTGAAGTATTTCAGAGAAGGACTATTCAATAAATAACCTAAGTGTAGGTGAATATTGACATCATCGATATGATCCGTTGCGAAAGTATTTCACAACTTAGATACACGAGTGTGTCGATATCTGTTTTACCCACTAAGGGTAGTATGAGGAGTTGATATGACATTTTTGGAATGCATGATGTGGTATTTCATATATTATATTTCTTGTATTCATTTATTCTTAGTTTTGGAGTTAATATTTAGCGATTCATAATTTGAGATATATGATATACACATGAGGATTTCCTTGTTTGGATTATTTCGCTCGACGTACCAGTCTCGTGTCGTGAGTTTCTAATTATTGATTTCCTTTAGATTGTTTATCTCTAGTTCAGTGTTAATGTTTAGGTATCTATAATTTGAGACATATGGTATATACATGAGGGTTTCCTTATTTAGATTATTTCGCTTGACGTACTACGTCTCGTTTTGTAGGTGTCTAAATATTGATTCTATTAGATACTGAGAAAATAATCTAGGTAGACTATGCACTTATAGGTAGAGTCTTCATCATACTTAGTAGCCCTTTCCTTGGGACAGATGGAGATGATCTTGATATAGCGCTCTGACGCTCTTGTTGTTGTTTTTTTTAAACTTCTTTTCAAGTAGCAGAGCAGAGTTTCGAAGAGCCGCAGGTTGACGGACTTTCAGTATAGTCGCTGTCATTTCATTTATTAGTTACTTTTTCTCCACCGATGTTTAGTCTTGTATTTAGTAGATTATTAGATTTGCATTTCATTTTGAGAGTTGAGAGCATATGTATTTTCATTTGACTCGGTGTATTGAGACATTTATCTTTTTGTATCAGATTGTTGAACAACTTTACTCAGTTGAGACTTGATCATTTATGAGACTTATCATTTACTTCCATGTCTGATTTCTTATGTTCATCTCTTTTATATCTGCTTGTACCTGTACTATTTTATTTGATTCCACTAGAGAGATATTTCTGTGATGGTGAAACATGTCGTTGCACAATATGGGTGCATGACAGATTTGACATCCTTAGATTCACCTTGGACTGCAGCCTTATGTGAACCCAGGGGCGTCACAGTTGTTTATAAACATAAAAATGAATATGTTATAAAAATAATTTTTCAAATTGTATTTTCCATTTATAAAAACTTATCATTTTGCAAATAGTCCAAAAACACGAAGTCTCAATAACACATGATTTTGACAAAATGTTTTCAAACAAGTTTCAAACTTCTTTTAAATGGATTAATAGACTTTATAAAAGATGTAAAATGATATAATTGAGTCTTTAATCCTTAAAATACACATTTTACAAACTTACAAAAATATGAAAATGATAAACATGATTTCATTGATATGAAATTGTTAAAGCTTGATTTTAATGAAATCATATCAAGCACCTATAAATATGAAACAAATAAGTGTATATATAACGTTATTCATTTGTTTCATATTTATGTGGCTAAACTTGAAAGTAATAAAACGAAAACTGTGTGTATGTAATATTTAAGCTTAGAGTGTTAAACACACAAAGTATAAACCTAAAACACTATACCAAAGCTAATGATCTCTCATTAAAGCTCGATTTTGGTTGCGGATGAAGCTTGATCTTGAATCTTTAAATTGAATGGCGACAGATTCATTCCGATGTTTCGCCAACATCCATTAAATGTTATCGTTAAGGCGCAATCCAACTAACCTCCTAACATAGGATCTTTGTGTAGGATACCTAACAATCAAATGCAAATACTCAACAAACATTGTTAGGAATTGTTTGTAAATCATCAAAACAAGATTAGGGAGTAGGGTCATAAGCATGAGACCTAACATCATTTACATCTCCACTGCAACAAAAGTTATAAATTATGATACACTCTTTGTCTTTATGCGACACATTTTTGTGTTGCACAAATAGAGCACGACGTATATTAAAAGTGTAGTTAGAGCATGCGTGGAGAGTGTCTTTTTACACATGTGAGAATGTGTCAAAAAACTCACGACACATACATATGTCGAGAGTGGTGACACATATATGTGCCATGAAACTCTTAACACATACATGTTTTAAGAGTGGTGACACATAATTATGTCTAAACCATAAAATTATAAAAAGTATCACCATTCAACACTATTATTTCCCAGAAGGTCACCCATCCTATAATTACTCTCACCAAAGCACACTTAACTATGTAGTTTTTTAAGCTTATACACTATCATGAATGTTTAATCATTGTCTTAATTATAATCTAAGTTTTATTATTTAAGCACATTAATAGATTGTCTCACAACCCATATTGTACTATTAGCATTTTTCAATTATATTCAATTGTAAATCCAATGACACAAATATGTGTCGTGATTTGCTATATATTTTATTTGTGTCACTATTATTTAATATTTTTAAATAAAATGACACTTTTATATGTGTCATAAAGTAAATGTAGATGCATACAACTTTTGTTGTAGTGCTCTTACTCCACTTTAAAGAACTCCCAAACAATGTTAGCTCTTACCTTACCTTATTATTTGTGTCACTATTATTTAATATTTTTAAATAAAATGACACTTTTATATGTGTCATAAAGTAAATGTAGATGCATACAACTTTTGTTGTAGTGCTCTTACTCCACTTTAAAGAACTCCCAAACAATGTTAGCTCTTACCTTACCTTAACTCAGTTGAGACTTGATCATTTATGAGACTTATCATTTACTTCCATGTCTGATTTCTTATGTTCATCTCTTTTATATCTGCTTGTACCTGTACTATTTTATTTGATTCCACTAGAGAGATATTTCTGTGATGGTGAAACATGTCGTTGCACAATATGGGTGCATGACAGATTTGACATCCTTAGATTCACCTTGGACTGCAGCCTTATGTGAACCCAGGGGCGTCACAGTTGTTTATAAACATAAAAATGAATATGTTATAAAAATAATTTTTCAAATTGTATTTTCCATTTATAAAAACTTATCATTTTGCAAATAGTCCAAAAACACGAAGTCTCAATAACACATGATTTTGACAAAATGTTTTCAAACAAGTTTCAAACTTCTTTTAAATGGATTAATAGACTTTATAAAAGATGTAAAATGATATAATTGAGTCTTTAATCCTTAAAATACACATTTTACAAACTTACAAAAATATGAAAATGATAAACATGATTTCATTGATATGAAATTGTTAAAGCTTGATTTTAATGAAATCATATCAAGCACCTATAAATATGAAACAAATAAGTGTATATATAACGTTATTCATTTGTTTCATATTTATGTGGCTAAACTTGAAAGTAATAAAACGAAAACTGTGTGTATGTAATATTTAAGCTTAGAGTGTTAAACACACAAAGTATAAACCTAAAACACTATACCAAAGCTAATGATCTCTCATTAAAGCTCGATTTTGGTTGCGGATGAAGCTTGATCTTGAATCTTTAAATTGAATGGCGACAGATTCATTCCGATGTTTCGCCAACATCCATTAAATGTTATCGTTAAGGCGCAATCCAACTAACCTCCTAACATAGGATCTTTGTGTAGGATACCTAACAATCAAATGCAAATACTCAACAAACATTGTTAGGAATTGTTTGTAAATCATCAAAACAAGATTAGGGAGTAGGGTCATAAGCATGAGACCTAACATCATTTACATCTCCACTGCAACAAAAGTTATAAATTATGATACACTCTTTGTCTTTATGCGACACATTTTTGTGTTGCACAAATAGAGCACGACGTATATTAAAAGTGTAGTTAGAGCATGCGTGGAGAGTGTCTTTTTACACATGTGAGAATGTGTCAAAAAACTCACGACACATACATATGTCGAGAGTGGTGACACATATATGTGCCATGAAACTCTTAACACATACATGTTTTAAGAGTGGTGACACATAATTATGTCTAAACCATAAAATTATAAAAAGTATCACCATTCAACACTATTATTTCCCAGAAGGTCACCCATCCTATAATTACTCTCACCAAAGCACACTTAACTATGTAGTTTTTTAAGCTTATACACTATCATGAATGTTTAATCATTGTCTTAATTATAATCTAAGTTTTATTATTTAAGCACATTAATAGATTGTCTCACAACCCATATTGTACTATTAGCATTTTTCAATTATATTCAATTGTAAATCCAATGACACAAATATGTGTCGTGATTTGCTATATATTTTATTTGTGTCACTATTATTTAATATTTTTAAATAAAATGACACTTTTATATGTGTCATAAAGTAAATGTAGATGCATACAACTTTTGTTGTAGTGCTCTTACTCCACTTTAAAGAACTCCCAAACAATGTTAGCTCTTACCTTACCAAAAACAGAGAGAGAAGGAAGAAGGAGATAGGGCACATGAGATTCATATGACCTTATTTCATAATGGTCGTTGCATGTGTACTTTAGGCTAAAAATAGAAAAGGTGTGACATTGCAAGCATGTTAGCAAGTAAAGATCGTTATAGAAATCTCCCTAGCATTTTCAATCTTCCCTTTTAATTTTGGAGTGTTCCGGAAATCTCCCTAGATTTTCAATCTTTTCAACTGATGTCCCTGATGGTGTCAGATGAGAAAGACTAATATACACTCATTCAAATGATCAGTCTAATTATTAAATTAAATTAATATAATTAATGACTAAAACAATAAAATCCCTAACCTAACCTTAAAGGGTTTTTGCGTATCTTTATAAATATTTAAAAGTACAAGAGAAGTTCTTCGGTTAAAGGCATTTTGGTCATTTGGATGCATGTAATTTTTATGCGCATTGTCACATCTAATAGGGGTGGGAGGATGACATTAATCCCCAAGTTTTTTTATATTGATCCCTGTAATTTGACATATTTCAAATTTAGTCCCTAAAATATGTATATTTTAAATTTGTGACTCAAATTTCATAGGTTAGATGTAATGAGTCCTTCGTGTTAAATATTTGTTATCTTTAACTTCTGATAGGCTTAAGGTGGTTAAAATTTCACCTAATAAACCTTTTTTTAAGGATTGGGAGTTTAAATTATCCACAAGTTGAGCTATGATAAAACAAGCACACTGATATAATCATACTCCCCTGCACATTCTTTATATATTAATTAATCTAATTTACATATTTACATTGATTAATGGATGGACTAGTTAAAAAATCACAGTATTAGTTTCAAAACTAATATGATTTTGCCCTCTTATACTTAATATGTATATTTTGATAAACTCATCCATAAAATTATTTCACATAACTGGAAATTTGGGAGTCTTTATATAAATTTATTGGAACAACGAAGAATCACTCCATTAGGGAGTAGATTTTATATCATGAAATAAGAGGAGATATTGATATGAAACAGTACTGTAATTTCTTAATGTAACATCCATGAAAATTTCATCAAGATATTGGGTAGTTGTCAGAGAAAAGAAAAGAAAAATAAATTATGCATACAAGCTAGTAAATAACAAATATCACAACTGAATACTACTTAAGAAAAACAATAAAGACATCAATGGAATATACTTGTTGAATGAGACCCTAACAAAAGAGATTCTTAACAAAGAAGAGAAATTGCTATGAAAAATTGTGTAATTTCTTGGCCTATATATAGGCATGAGATGATGTATTCCCTTCCCGAGAGCTTTCTGTAGTTTGAAAAAAAAAGCTATCAAACAAATATGTTGTTGATAGTTGCTCAGGAATTTCAGAAAACTATCAATTAAAAGAACAATATCAGTTTATGCCGGATTAGGATCACGTAGGTAATTTTTTCTATGAACCTTTTTTTTTCCCAAACTCAATTTTTAAAGGGAGTATGATATAATATGATATGATATGATTAAATTTCCTATCTAATGACTCAAAATTATATTATTCTATTTTTTATCATAGGACAGGGCAGGAAAAAGAAAAGAAAGAGAAGGATGTATCTCTCTATATATTTGACAATGTTAATAAACAGCCCACTATATATAGAGATTAGTCGTAATATGCAAATAGAAGAAATTAAAAGAGATTCATATAGAAAAAAACCCGAAAACCTGGATCCACCCAAGGTTCCTCCTCTTTCCCCTTCTCCTCCCCATGGCGGGTTCGAAATTATTAAGGAAGGTTGGTCTCAAATTCGAAACCCTAGGGGCTTAATATTTGATATTCCACATTTCAAATCCTAAAACATTATAGAAGATGGGAGGAGATTCGAGCTCTGAAGAAGTTGGTTTGGATCTCCTTCAGCAGTTGGAACTCATCTTAGAACACGATAAGCTTATGTAAGCTCTCTTCCCTTTTCGCCCTGCAAATTGCCATCTTTACTATATTTTCTCTGTAAGTTGATGTTAATTGTATTTAAAGTTATCAAAAGATTCAATCTTGATTGAATTTGAGTACTTCATAGCATTTAAGTGTCATGTCTAATGATTAAAACCATAGAAATACAAGCACTTGGGTCCATACGATTTACAACTAGCTCCATAAAAGGCTTGACTTGATATCAGAGAACTTCCCAACTTGCCATTTTTCCAGTTTGATTTGACAAGGGCTTGATTTGACCATAGTATTAGGAACGACCGTAACAAATCACTAGCCAAGTCAATTTTTTGATAAAAGTGCAGCAAATTTATATGAGAAACCAAACTTGAAAGTTGAAACACAATACATGTCAAAGGTCTCTGCCACTACGTGAAAACTCCGAAGATGGGGTGAGGGTTGAGAGTTGTAGTTTTATATTCTAACAATTCAACTAGCTACGAGGATCTAGATTGAGTTTGGTCTTGGGGAAATTTGTATACCTTTTTGGTCCTGGCTTTAATGGTGGCAATGGTTTGATATCGGTGGCATACTAATACACATCTAGAGAAGTGAAGCAAGTCAAGATACTACCTTGAAGTTAACACCATGGATAATGGAAAGACTAATGGAGTGAAATTATTATGAGGGGCTAAACTGATTTATGTTAGAAAAAACCAACATCAGGAGGCATTTTCATGGTAGGGATATTCATCGAAGAATTTATACAATTGCAATCCTTGATATTTGATGAATATTTATGAGTAGATACTTGTTACCTCTTCTCATTCATTCATCCTTTTGTCCTAGTCACCTGTGACAGTGCTCATGAGTACCTTTTTTAGTAATACAGTTTTTACCTGATTCTATTTGTAATCCTTTTTTTCCTTTGCCAACTGCAAAGTATTACTATGCACATATGGTGACTTCTAGGAAGTCTTCATTTAGGTGATACACCGGAAGTTTTGATATTAGGATCTTCAGATAGTATTCTATTAGATATTTGAATTGGTTGGAAGATTTGATAGCATTCTCGTATTTTTTTATAAAGATCAAGCAGATATTAGAATGGATCTGTATAGAGGATCATTATCCTTTATTTAGATTTGGCTATCAGGGTCAGTTTCGTATATGCTGGTCCGTTTATCCCCCAACCCTTACACACTTCTATATTTGTAAGTGTTTTTTGAGACTTGACTGCAGTAATTGCTGATATTATTTACAGAACCAAAATCATTTAGGGTGCGTAAGCCATAGACTTTACTTCTTATGTTAATGTGTGTTTACTATTTGATTTCGAGTTCAGTTTATTTGAGCAGAATTATAGTTGTTCTTCTTCAACTTATTTATGTTTATATGGCTTTGTTTTCATTTTTATGCAGTGATGAAGTAGGCTTCGTACACCCCGACCAGTTTCCAGCTCTGAATGAAGGTCCAAGTAGTTCACTATCCCCCGTTTGCATTCTAGGTCAATCAGCAGCTGACATCCTCAATAAAGACACAGTAGAGTTGCATGTGGTACAATATGATGAGAAAGTTTTCTGGAATAAAGATCATAAATTGGCTATCTCAATTCTTGTTTTACCCCAGTTGTATAATGCTGCTCTGAATGCATATATGGATGCAAATAGAAGATATAAACAGTCAATCAGGTCACAAATAAACAAAGGTTCCTTTGATGATGCAAACTGTGGATGTGATTTTGATCAATTTCTTGAAAGTGAAGTCCTAAAGCATACCAGGGCACTTTTGATTCTCAGTTATGACTTCAAGAGTGCATGGAATTCCAGGTTTTTTTTCCTTTTCCTGATGACAGTAACATGTTTATTTTCTCTATTTGTCCTTACTTTCTTTGGTTGCTTATCTAAAGTGCTATAATATTAATGGTAACTTCTCATTAAGATGGTTGTGTCTATTTAGTTTAGATTACAAGAATTTGGACATTCTAGCACTGGTATATATTTTGAGATTCCTTAATATGACAGTTTTTATAAATTCTAATATCTAATTCAGGTGCAGATATTCTCTTTAGATATCCACCTACATTTGTACTTCCGAGGATCTTTAGACTCAAGGGCTTCATTAGAAATTTTGCATAGGAAGCCATGTGAATTATTGTTAGAAACATGCAATTGAGCCCTTTTGTGGCAAGCACTACTAATGTTTATAACAGGAATATTATGCTCAACTGTCAGACATTTATTCTATCTTCAGTTATGTTCATTGTTGAATAACAGTGGCATTCATCATTCGATAGGAAGCTTGTCCTATCAAGAAAGCAGGAGCTGTCATTATTTGTGGACGAATTTCAGTTATCTGCACTAATCCTTTCATATGCACCAAAAAGTGAAGGTGCTTGGAGTCATAGGTAATCTCCATGATATTTTACATCAATGAAGTTATATGAATTTATTGATACTAGTATTTTTTTGTTTATTATTTATTTTTTAGTTATTTTTCATTAAAGGAAAGGTTTCTCCTTTGTTATTTGTCAGGGATTTCTACTTCTATTTATATTTTTATGTAGGTCTGATCAATGCGTGGGACTTAATCAAGAAAAGTTTATAATTTCAGGCAGTGGACAGTAAAGATGATTGCAGAAAAAGTTCACGATCTGCAGGAGCTTGTAAAAAAAGAATCAGAGCTGGTGAAGAATATTGCTGAGGTTTATTTTCCATGCAGCATATGGCTACTTTAAGTATTGAAGGTTTTATTAAATTACAGCTTCATGAATTGTGTAAATGAGTTTCATCCAATTTCCATATTCTGTTTTTATACTGTACTGGATGATAATTGAGAGTGGTTGATAATTGAGAAAGAATGCAATATTAAGTAGTACATGTACTAAAGGAGATTGCCCTTTGGCCATGTACTACTATTTTGCTAAATGGGTGATATTTTGGTGTGTTAACAATATACTGGCAGAAATAGTACAGAGATATGAGAAATAGAAACTGTGTCTGATGTATGATAATAACTTTTCTTTTTTGCTTGTATAAGATAATAGTCCAGACTTTCTTTTTATATGCTTGATTCTCTCCATTTTTTTCTTTTGCAGAAATCAAAAATGAATTATCGTGCTTGGAATCATCGATGCTGGCTTGTTCTATACATGACGGAGTCACAGGTAACATCATAATATTGATGTTCTTGCAAACTTACTATTTTAGTACTATTATGTCACATAGATACTGTGGTTAACTATCCTTTAACTTTGAGAGAGTTATTATACCAAATTAATCAGAGTTCTCAAATTCATATTGATGTGTGACCACTAGCCAGTCAACCAACAGTTTAGTTATTGTTTAATCTTCTATTTGGCAATCAGAGGCACTATTACTTGTTCTATACTGCATGGCTGTACTTATATCTTTCTTAGTGAAGGAAAATCGAAAACCTGTATCTCCTTTTCCTAGTGTGGGATCCTTGTGACTCTCTTCTTATTTCTTGAATGTCAAAGTTGCTCCAGTTTAGTATGATGAGTGTGTATATACTAACACTACAGGTTCTTGATGAGTTGAACATGTCAAGAAAATGGGCCGAATTGCATGTTGCTGATAACTGCTGCTTCCACTACCGTCGAGTGAGCTATCCATCCATTTCTTGCTATTGTAAATTACGTAGGATGAGTATTATCAGTTCTATTCAGAGAATATATGTTGTGTGTATTAGATTTTTTTTCTATAGCATTGTTCAATATATAATTCAAGATTGGTAGGGTTACACAATCCTTTCATAGGGATGGGTTAGTAGGATAGTGGTGAGTTTATGTGGTGGGGGGGGGGGGGGCATGGGGTATATGTGTTTGTGTAGTGATATGTGGCGAAAAAAAGTCATCATATTTAAATCGTGGACAGCTGTGAAGCCTCCGGTCCATTTTTTCCTGGGGTTTATTGCACATGGACCCACTACGGTATCGCTGTTTTGACTTTCTACCCAGGGGTTTCATTGCTGCAGATAGATCCCCTGGGTTAAATATTTTTCACTCTTTATCCTGAGTGAAATTTTGGTTGGTAGTGCCCCTAGATGAAATTAGAGACTATCTAAA